TTTTTTTTTTTTTTAAAAAAAAAAAAAAAAAAAAAAAAAGATATGCCCTCTAGGGCCATATCTCTGCAATCCGGATTGCCCTCCCTCATTCTAGGAGGGATAAGGTCACAGTTGGGACCTGCCAGTCCCTATTGTGCAGGTCTCAATGAGCCCGCACATTCTCCTCCACTCTTTTCTGCCCTTTTGTCTCATTCTCCCTCCATTTTCTCTCATTTTCTTTTCTTTTTCCTTTATTTTTGATGTGACAAGTGTCCACTAGCTGTTGAGTCTTTTTCTAGGCCATGGATCCTCATTCATGACCAGATTCAGACCCAGCACTTGACTGTTATATCTCAGATTACAATAATGGCACCCCCATGCTCCTAGGGGGCTCCATTTTGTCTCCGTTAGTCCCAATTTTGAGCCCCCTTTGCTCCGATTTTCTTTGGACAACCTTTTTTTTACGTTGAGCCTCTTGAGGCTCTATTTTCTCATGCCTAGCTAGTCCAAGATATATCGGACTGCTGGATAACCCTCCCAACACCATTATTTCACTTTTTTTTCTCTCATTACTCTCCCACTTGTTCCCACTAGTGCTAATATTTTCCACTGTCTAGATCCTCGATCTTGACGGTGCCGTTTACTTGCGCAATTATTTCTTGTGTTGACTCATGGTTCCCTTGGGACATTTCAAGTGCCCGTCATTTTTCTCCGTACTAGTTCCGTTTTCTTGTTCTGTCGGTAGTTCCGCCGGCCTGTGTCCCGTTTTTCGACTATTATTATTTAGGCCTACTTAGTCCCCAACAACATCCCGAACGGTGTCCCATTTTTATTTAGGGACCTCCTCGCCCTTGGTGATTCCAATATCTCTTCCTAGGGTGCCACATTTCTGTCGATTTTTCTTGGTCGTGAGATCTCATATCCCGGTTGTCGTTTACCGTCTCTACTTGCCCTATGCCGAAATCGCTTCTTTATAGCCTTTTGGGCTTGCCGCGGCTCATTTTTCCTTAACCTAGGCATCCTCATGCTTCTCGGAGTGCAATCATGGCCATTTTCCTAGTCCCACAACCCCACATCTTGCCCCATACTAGAAGAAAATGAAGCGTTTGATTCCCAAGTGCATCCGGGCTCAATATTGGCTCCGGATGCACTTAGAGCATGTGTTTTCCCTTCTTCATGCAGTCCATTGCAACTCGGACTGCAGCAGGGGTCAATTCCCTAGCCCCAATGTCCCACAATTAGCCCTTTATTGAGAGAAAAAGAAACGCCAAACTTCCAAGTGCATCCGGGCTCAATTTTGGCTCCAGATGCACCTAAAACATGTGTTTCTCCTCCCCCATGTAGTCCGTTATATTTCGGTTGCATGGGGGCTTGATTTTTTTTTATTTTCCCTGCAAAATCAGAAGAAAATCAAGTTCCTTTGCAACCGTCATATTCCAGAATGAATCTGGTTACGGATGTATCTCCCCAAGTGACCGTTTTTTACTGTTAAGGTTTTTTTCTCTTTTCTTTTCTTTTCTTTTCCTCTTTTCTTGGACAGTAGGGACCTGCTAGTCCCTACTTGTGGCAGTCCCTACTGACGGCCAACTCACTCACTCCCTCTCACTCTTTTTGTCTTATTCTCCCACATTTTCTTTTCTTTTCTTTCTTTTTTCTAGCATGCCAAGTGTCAAGTGGCAGTTAAGGTCCTTTTCTAGGCCCTTCCTCTTAGTTTTGGCCCTTCCTATGCCCAAGATGCAGTCCGTTGTATCTCGGACTGCAATAATGGCCTTCTCATGCTCATGGGAGCTTCCCTTTTCCTCTATTCTTCTCTCATAGTGACCCCTCCTACTCCGATTTTCTCTCAGAGGCGTATTTTTCTCATGAGGTCTCTTTTGATTCCATTTTCTTGAGGGAGGTTGATCCGAGATTTTTTGGATTGCTCCCATGCCTCCCACTTCAAGTTTCTTTACTTTTTCTTTTCCTTTCGGCCTTCTCGTTTGCTAGCACTAGTGGTGCTAATATTTTTGGCTGTCAAGATCTCGGTCTTCACGGTGCACCTTGTCTTAGTTATTTTTCCCTCATGAGGTGTGGCCATTTCCTCTTGAGACCATATGTCCCCGTCACTCGTCCCGTCGGTGGTCCCCGATACTTAGCCCCGTCAGCGGTCCCCGACGCTCAGTCCCGCCGGTGGTCCCCGGTACTTAGTCCTGCCGGTGGTCCCCGGTACTTAGTCCCGCCGGTGGTCCTCGGTACTTAGTCCTGCCGGTGGTCCCCGACACAGTCCCGCCGGCGGTCCCCGCCATATTTTTCCCAGATACCATTATTTTCACTTAGTCCCGCGCGGTCCCTGGTGCCTTTCCTCAAGGTGTCCCACGTTCTTTGGGCGTCTACCGCCCTATGGTGGCCCCTCTCTCTTGCTTTTTCTTGGGCCTTGCGTGCGCTATTTTTCTCCGGCCGCAGGGCCTCCAACCCGAGGCTCCCGTTAATTGTCGTAGGTGGCCCCCATGTTGGGCCCTTATTCTCTAGCTTCCCACGGCCTTCGGGGCCTCCAACTTGTCGTGCCGTGTTCGCCGGGCCAATGGCCCCTTGGCCTTAGTCTTGCTGAATTCCAACAGCCCTCCTGGCCTCGAGCTATGTTCTATGTGCCCTTGTCCTCGCGCTTACTTGCTTGTCGTCGCTGGTTTTTCCCTTGACGGTTTTCAACCCAGGGCATCATTCCTTCCGGTGGCCTAGTCCTTTGTCTTTTCTCTCTCTTACTTCCTTACTCCAGATTTCTCTATTATGCACAATCTGGTTATATGCAGTCTCTCGAGTGGCGGGATGTTATTCGGGACCCACCAGTCCTGACACCGTGTCTTGGGTCTTGTAGAAGACCAATGGATTGTTATCCGTTACCCATCGGAACTGTCGTCGACCGAGAAGAAAATGCCGCCAGCGCTTGAGCGCGTGTACGAAGACCAATAATTCCTTCTTCCGTGCGTCGGCAATCGAGTGCACGACGGACACTTTCTGGCTAAAGTACTCGATCGGGTGCCTGTCCACACCGTCATGTTGCTCGAGGACGGCACCAATGCCATAGTCGGACGCATCGGTAGTGACACGTGTCGGCAAAAGCGGATCGTAGCTGCGCAACACCTCCGCGGATAGCAATGCGACTTTGAGAGACAAAAAGGAAGTCCACGCATTGTCGTCGAAGTCGAATGGCCGGTCCTCACATTGAAGCTTGGATAAAGGAGTCGCGATCTTCAAGTATCCCTTGATGAAGCGTTGATAGTAGTCGGCTAAGCCAAGGAAGGAACAGACATTTGTGATGGTCTTCGGCTCCGACCACTCTTGGATGGCTTGAATCTTGTCCGACAACGGACTGATGCCCTCTGATGTGACAAAATGGCCCAAGTATTCCAGCTCTTGCCGGACAAATTCGCACTTGTCGCGGTTGGCTTTGTACTTGGCGCGGCAGGAGCGTCTCCAACACTCGTCGAAGGTGCTCAAGATGATCCTCCATTGTCCGGCTATAGACGAGGATGTCGTCTAAGTAGACTAGTACGAACCAGTCCAGCATCGCACGAAACTCATTGATCATTGCCGCTTGAAAGGTCGTGGGGGCATTGGTGACGCCAAACGGCATAACGATCCACTCAAAATGCCCGTACCGCGTCTTAAACGCGGATTTGTAGCAATCTTGCGGGCGTATCGAGATTTGATGGTAGCCCGACTCCAAGTCCAATTTTGAGAAGAATTTTGTGTCGCCCAAATGCTCGAGAAGGTCGTCAGAAGAGGTCCCGCATTCTTGACGGTTTGTGCGTTGAGCTTGCGGTAGTCGATGCACAAGCGAAGATCCTTGTTCTTCTTCCGTACGAAGAGAACTGGCGCACCATATAGTGAGCTACTAGGGCGGATCCAACCCTTGTCCAAAAGATCGTCGAGTTGAGCGCGGAGAACCTCGAGCTCTTCCTTGCTCATGCGATAGATGCATCTTTTTGGCGGCACGACACCGGCCTCAAGAATGATCTCGTGGGAGATCAGCCGATCCGGCACCACACCGGTAGGAGACTCGAAGATGTCGGTGAACTCGTCGAGCAGCCGCACCACTCGGGGGTCTGAAGACAAGTCCGTAGGTGAAGATTCGGTTGTCATGGCGGCTCGTAGAAAGCATAGGCCTATCTCGCCGGTCCGCTCGTAAGCGCAAGTAGCCTGAAAAGACTTGGCCGGTACAACTTGGCACTTGATCGAGGAGTGCGGAAGAGGAATGGTACACGGCACCTCGACGTCGAAGGCGTCACGAACGATAAGTGTCCGCTGATGGAAGTTGACCATGTGATCCGCACTTGCAAGCCAAGGCATCCCCAAAATAATGTCGACGTCTGTGTCTAAGACGTCAAACGTCACCGGTTCGCAGGCATGAGGTGCGAAATAAACCGGCACGACTTCAATGTAGCGATCGAGGAGTGGTTACGTCCGACTGTCCGCCAACTTGATCGCTGTCGGGTTTGGCTTCCTTCGAACTTGAGCGCCAAGGCCGGCCCTTTGGATAACGGACTGGCTGATGAAATTGCGAGTCGCGCCACTATCCAACAAAGCGTTGCAGGATGCTTGCCCAACTTGGATGCGGACATAAAGGAGCGGTGCGTTGTTACGATCGTACCGCTGCATGCGAAACTCGCGGGCCACCTTGGTAACATACACAAGGATGTCCCCCACCGCAGCTTCGTCATCCGTCGGCGAAGATGGTGGTGCATAGAAGGCTAAGTATGTGTGGAGATGGGCGCATAGTATTGCGCATTGCGGTCCCGGCAAGTAGCCTGTGGAAGGGAGAGGAAGCCTTGCAAAATCCTCGGACGTCAACGGGTCCAAGACCTCTATGTTGAACTCGTGCATCGAATCCCTTGAAGAACCACTTGAAGACGATCCATTGTTGCTGTCCTTGAGCTTGAGAACCTAGTGAAGGAACGAGCCGGGCAGCATAGTCCTCATAAGAATATAAGAGAGGACTGTCGACTTCCGCATGTGCCTCGGAATGAAGAGGGGTCGCTCGCGAAGCAACCGATTCGGAAGGCGTCGAGAGTGCAGCCCCATCACTCTCGGCGGTGCTCACTTTCCCGAAGGGGATTTGCCTTGGACTGGCGTGGGGCACGTTGCAGTGTCGTGCACCGCCTTGTTGCACCACAAGCAGTATCGGTACTTAGACCAGATGCGGTACACGCCTTCCGAGATACCGTAATGTGTCCAAGGCTCTTGAGCCGCTGGTCCGGCCCCGGGGGCTGAATTGGTGTGTGTCTTCGGTTTGTCGCGTCCTCGCCCTCTGGCGGGGCGGCCACCATCCCGGGCGGCTGCCAATCTGTCTCCTTCCTCGGAAGAGGCAACCTCGTTTGAAGGGTTGGTCGCTGTAGTTGCTGCGACCATGGCCACTTCCGGCCGATGCTGTCCTCTGCCCTGGCCTGCAGCAGACGAATGACCCAAATTCTTGGCTTCTATGTTCGTCACGATGATGTGCGAGGTTTTATCAAAAAGCTGCTCACTTGTGGTGAGCGTCTCCGCAACTTGCGTCAAGGCGTTCTGCAACGTCGGGCAGCTCCTCCTGATGAAGAAGTGCTTGATAGTGACAAATGTCGATGGCAAGTTGGGAGTGGATGCCAACCGTTGGTACTCGGTGATCCAGTCCGTGCTTGGCAGGTCGTTCTGATAGAACCGTTGAAGTTTCTCGGCTGCCTGAAGCTCGGGCGGTTCCACTTGGAAGCGCTTATGCCATGCTGCCTTGAGATCAGCCGGACTGATCTTCGTATGCAGCTCGGAGACTGCGACATTGTGCGTGGACAACATATTGTCCAGCCATGCCTGGCACGCGCCTCCCGAGCGGGAGTATAAGTATGCGTGCCGGTTCGGGTTGATGACGTGGTGAATGTCCAACTTCAGCTCAAATTGGCACCACCATGGGATCGGGTTCGTCTTCGTTGCATCGCAAAAGATCGGGAGGCCGTCAAACTTTGGGATGCTCTCGCGATTAGTCGTGGTTGGACTGGCTGCGGCGGCGCAAATCTGCTGGTCAATCCGCTGATTTGTTGTAAGAGCGCCGTCCTTAAGAGTCTCGATGTCAATTTCCAAGACGTTGACGCGGTCAAGCAGTTCATCAATAACTGATTTGTTGTAAGAGCGCCGGCGGGGGTGGCTGATGCAAGCTGCTGTTCCAGCCGACGTACCCGGTCAAGCAGTTCATCAATAACTCGAATCTGCTTCCGGACCAGGGTGTCCACGCAGAGGATGTCCTCTTGTTGTGCTGCACAGGTGGCGACCAAGTCGCTCACATGTTCGATTGTGGTTGCAAGGCCATGCACAGAAGAGGGGGCACCCTCCTATTCAACAGCCACTGCCTATTTGCCGGCGATCACCTCAATATCCCCCTCGCATTCGAGGAGTTTGTCTCGGCGTAGTCGATGGCGTTCGTCTGCGGCCTTCCTTGCTGCCTCAGCGTCCGCCTGTCACTGCTGTTCAGCAAGGCGACGTTATTCCTCTGCTTCCTCATCTTCTTTCTTACGTGCAGATGTTGCCGCCGCTGCCCGTAGCTTGAATTCTGTAACCATGTCCAACATGCGGGTTTCATAGGCCTCGCTAGTCTCGCCTGGCTGCTGCTCCATGCCGCTTGTCTTTGAGCGGGTGAGCACCATGCACTGACGTGACCTGCTGCTGCGGTGACTGGTTGCTGACGTGGCACTGCTGCCGTGTCCTACTGACATGGCCTGTTGATGTGGCAACTTACCAATCGAAGAGGCATTAGTCTGTTGTCGGACAAGATTCAAGCCATCCAAGAGTGGCCGGAGCTGAAGACCGTCACAAATGTCTGTTCCTTCCTTGGCTTAGCCAACTACTATCAACGCTTCATTAAGGGATACTCGAAGATCGCGGTTCCTTTATCCAAGCTTCAATGCGAGGACCGGCCATTCGACTTCGACGACAATGCGCGGACTTCCTTTTTGGCTCTCAAAGCCGCATCGCTATCCGCGGAGGTGTTGCGCATCTATGATCCGCTTTTGCCGACATGGGTCACTACCGATGCGTCCGGCTATGGCATTGGTGCCGTCCTCGAGCAACATGACGGTGTGGACTAGCACCCGATCGAGTACTTTAGCAAGAAAGTGCCCACCGTGCACTCGATTGATGACGCACGGAAGAAGGAATTATTGGCCTTTGTACACGCGCTCAAGCGCTGGTGGCATTTTCTTCTCGGTTGATGGCAGTTCCGATGGGTAACGGATAACAATCCATTGGTCTTCTACAAGACCCAAGACACGGTCAATAGCACCATTGCCCGTTGGATGGCCTTCATCGACCAGTTTGACTTTTTCCCCGACCACATTCCGGGCAAGTCAAACCATTTTGCGGATGCTCTTTCACGGCGTCCGGACCATTGTACCGCAGTCTACTCAACTTTTGAGATTAACGACGACTTGAGGGACAACTTCATCCGCGGCTACCAAGTCGACCCCGAGTTTTGCGACAAGTACGCAAATTACTCCTCTCCTAATCCGTCGCCATCGCACTATCGGATCCAAGAGGGGTACTTGCTCGTCCACTCGCGAGGGAAGGATCTTCTTTGTGTGCCACAAGATTTACACTTGCGCACACGGCTTCTTGGCGAGTTCTACGACTCTCCCGCCACCGGACACTTTGGAGTCAATCGTACGATTGGCTGACTCCGCGAGCGCTACTGGTGGCCCGGTCTTCTAAACGACGTCACACGCTATTGCGAGTCATGCGAGGTTTGCATCCATTGCAAATCCTGCAATCATCGTCCGTACGATGAGTTGCGACCGTTACCGGTCCCCTTGCGGCGAAGGGAAGCGATTGCCATGGACATTACCGGCCCGTTCCCCAAGCACAAGACCGGAGTGGATGGGATTCTCAAGGTGGTCGACTGACTCACCAAGTTTGCCATGTTTTTGCCTTGCCGCTATCATGCCAAGGCACTGGAGTTGGCCGAGGTTCTTTACGCCGGTTGGATTCGAACCAAGGGTTACCCCGAGGGGTAACCGGAGGCAGATAGAGAAGACCAGAGGGGGCAACAACATAGGTGGGAAGGGGTGGGATATATCACCCAGATAAGGAGCCACTAAAAAAAAAAGTTTGAACTTTGCAAAAAAATTCGAGAAAAAAAAAAACAAACTCGTTTGCAAGTTCAGTAGGCCCCCCAATTCTTGTGAAGTGCGAAATTAAAAAAAATTCGAACTTTCAGACCGCAAATGATTTTCTGATAAAAGAAGTCCGAAATTGAAGTACAAAAAAAAATTCGGAATTACATAGATGAGAGTACTCACAGTTGGAGAATGATAACTGCAAGAGGGATTACCATACCATTTAACAAAAAACGGATTTCGGAATAAAAATATTCCGGATTTCCAAATAACGGCAAATTGCAAAAGGAAATCGAAATTTTCGAAAAAGAAGATACTCCGGATTTTCAACAACGAAATTTTGAATTTTCAGAAGGAAAAAACGAAATTGGAAGTTTCAGATGTTGCGCTATTGCGATTTTCCACAACAGAAATAGCGAGAAAACAAAATCCAAGAAAAGAAAAAAAATTCGACTTTTGGCAGTGAGGTCAAAATTGTGATTTTGGGGGCTAACTAGTGTGCTCTAATCAATCAATCAACACTAATGAGCTACCTAGTCCCCGCACACGTGTCAGATCAGGTTGTCCTGATTCACGTGCGGTGTTCCGATACCAACTGTTACATGCCCAGTTGGGTGATGTACATAATAACCGAGGATCCGCAATGTGATAAAAAGGACTGAATGGACAATGCAGTGCAAGTAGAATCTCAACAAGCAATGTGCATTCCGGTACATATAAAATGGTGCTTTTATAGCGCAGGGAAGACTTTAGATACAAGTCCTGACCTGACCGGGACTGACCTCATTCACGTAGCACAAGATAGCGAAGAAGAATGCTAGAATGCAAATGACTAGCCCAATCAATGTTTAAACGCGGACCAAACATGCATCATGTCCATCACAAGGTGTGAAGGAGTCTGGCGCTATACACAGGAAAGAGGCGCCAGGTCCAGACATAAACAGACAAAGAGGAGGGGATCAGACGAAGAAGAGGAAGGGGGGAGATGGGAAAGTTGTCAACACCAAGTCTCGTTTCAAGTCCCAAATAATCCCTCTTTGATATGTCTGAAGTCCAATGTCGAGTCTGGATCCAAATGTCGCCAAGCTCTCTCTCTCTCTCTCTCTCGTAGTCTGCTGATGCAGTGAAGTCAGATAGCGGGAGGGTGAGAAGGAGATGGTGGACTGAGACGAGGAAGAAGAAGAACTCTCTCTCTCATGTGTCAGGTACTAACCTGTGAAGATGGCGCTGTGCTGCAGGTACCTCGAAGA